AGAGGGCGCTTTTTAGCGGCTTTTTTAAACAGTTAAGCAGAGTCATCCACAGTGACTCTGGCAGCAACTAGCCCAGCCTGACCTCAGCTCTTGCCTTTTTCCTTTTACATTTTTTTTTTCTTTTCATGATGGCAGGCAAGAGCAGAGTTGAAATCCTCTCTGAAAGATCCGGAAAAGGTACATGTGGGTCGGAGGGAGGGGGAGGAACTCAAACATCATCCTCCTGGTGCGGGGCTTTGGGCAAAGGCTGGAGGGAAGTGCTCTCCCTCCCCAAGTGATTGCCTCTGCCTCTGATTGCAGGCAGAGCCACGTTGTCTTTTCAAACCTATAATCAGTGAAGCTGGGCTGGATCCTTCCGGGGCTGGGGGAAAGACGTGTGTGTGCTCAAGTATGGCTCTTTGACTGGCTTTCTGCCTCCTCCTGTGGTCTCCCTGACTCCCTCCAATCCAACTTTGTGTGTGTGTGTGTGTGTGTGTGTGTGTGTGTTTGTTTGTGTTTGTGTGTGTGCGCTTGTTTGAGAGAGGGTTTGTTTGAATGAGAGAGGGAAGGGGGTAGGAGAGATAGTCCAATCCAACTTCCCTGTGTGCGTGTTTGTGTGTGTGTGTGTGTGTGTGTGTATTTGAGAGGGAGGAGGGAGGGAGAGAGGGAGGAAGGAGGAGAAGGGAGAAGAAAAAGAATGAAGAAAACTTGTTTAGCAAAGGAGAAAACAAATGTTATCGCTTTAAATCGGAACTGAGCATGCCTGGCTGTGGAATTCTGGGAGTTGAAGTCCACAAGTCTAAAAAACATGCTGCCTCACCAGCCATAAACCTCACCGGACGTCACTGATATGGACTGTTCCAATGTGCTCTACATGGAGCTTTCCCAGAAGACCCTGGGGAGTTGCAAATGTTTCTGAATGAAGTAGCAATGACAGTTACTGATATTCCATAGTATGCCATATAATACTCTTCTCTGTTGCACTGCACTGGTTGCCAATATTCTTCCAAGTGCAAATTTATTATTAATTATCAATTACACAGCATCATCTTTTGGGACCAAAAGATTTAGAAGCAAACCTTTGAGACCTGCCCTCTACAGCTCTGTAGTTTGAGTTTGTGATTTAATGATTAAATCTTCTTTCCTTACACGGCTTTGTGGAATTTTAAAAGACCCCCTTTAGTTTTAACCCTTAAACCCAGGTGTGGGATTCAGCCAGTTTGTACCAGTCAGGGTGAACGGTAGCTCCGACAATCAGCTGATAGTGAACTGGTTTGCTCCCATGATCAGGTGGGCCCATTCTCACCCTCCCATCTGCCCCTGCACTGTACTCACCTTTATTCCCTTTCCTGAAGCCCAGCTGATAGGCAGAGTGGATTGCCATATCTCAGCTGTTTTAATCACCGGGGCTGCAGTTGAAGGTAAATTTCCACATGCAACCCACATCCACACAATGTGTGTGTTCAGCGAACCTGTTGTTACATCGGCTGAATCTCACCACTGGTTGAACCATTGTACAAATGGGATTAGTCTTATGGAAGGTTTCCTTGTTTGGAGGGCGATAAAAACTAACTTTCAGGCCTCTCAAAAAGAGATCATTTTACCAGATGATTTAGGGGAACAGAATGATGCCATCCCCAAAACTAGATGTCACTTGATGTCATAGCTAACAGCCAGTGGTGGGTTGCTAACTGGTTTACTACTGTTTCGCTCATGCAGATGTGCGGGCGCATGCAATGCTTTTGTGCATGTGCAAAAGCTTCTGCGCATGTGTAGAAGCATCCGAGTGGGGAGGCAGAGCCGAGGTGGCGCAGTGGTTAAATGCAGCACTGCAGGCTACTTCAGCTGACTGCAGTTCTGCAGTTC